CCAAAAATCTCTCTGCACAATCAATAAAGTGATCAACGATAATAACAGCTGAGGGAACTGAATTAATAAACGCATAATATTTAAGCAAATTCCTAATTACACAGTTATGGCTCCCAGAACTTATCAGAATGTGTAGCAAGAGATAGAAAGGAACCACACTTCCACGCACAAAACCCTGCTGTTTCTCTACCCATTTGAGGTACTCGAAAAGCTGAATTTGAAAAGGAGAGAACATAATTAAACTGGGAGAGGATAAACCTGTGCCTTTTATCATTTAAATTCCCAAGTTAGTAAATTATTTGGCACTAATTACATTAAGAGACTTTTTTTTTCCTCCAAAAAATATTAGACTTTGAAATATAAAGAATATTAGACTTTAAAAATTAAAACTATCGTGCTGATAACGTGTTATAAAACTAATGAAAAGAGAGATATAAGAGAAGAAATAAATAGTCAAAACTCAACTGTGTATTTTATTTAAAATCAAGACCCGTATTTATAGAGTCTAAAATAAGAGTTACAATTGGAATGAAATATTCTCTATGAACCTCTATATATCATGATAATATTAAATAATTATCAATAACTATCTTATTATTTTACAATGAAAACTCTTTGATCAATTGTTGTTTAATACTTCCACTTTTAATCTCTGGCCCAAATTGAGAGGTATCTTACAGCCCATTTCATTTTATTTGGACATCATTATGTCACTCTTTTTCTTGACCGGGCTGCTACCAATCATTCGGTTTCAACCCATTTGATTTTTATTACAAATAATATGTATGAAATTGGGAAAAATTCATAAATTAATACAATATCAAAATCAACAAATTTGTAGAAAACTTTCAAAACTCATGCGGCACATGATTGTGATCTATTCTTATAAATAATTATACACTTTAAATTATACGATTGTTACTTAGTATAATGTCTAATTATAATTCAATCTATATGTGTAATATTCATTTGTTTTAGAGTGGATGTGATTTAGTTTGTTTTATTGTGACCTTTATATCTAAGAACTTATCAGCATGCGACTAATGAATTTATGTGTCTATTATATGTTATGTAATATAAATATGATCTACAAGCTCATGTGAACGTGATCAAATACGTTATTTAATTGTGACATAAGCATATACATTCAAGTAATCGACTAATTTTTTAAAAAAAAATAAAAATACTACTCTCCGATTAATAAGATAAAAAAAAAACTAAAAAAATGATTTCTCCAAATCTTAATTAGATATCATATTTGTTGAAATTAACAAGTTTGCCAATAATTGTATTCATCCACTTCTTGACGCATTCCTTACATCAATGATACGTGAAATCATTTTCCTTCAATGTCACTTTCATCATCAACCATCAAAAACCAATACTATAAAGATCCATCATGTTCACCATAATTGATATACTAATGTGTCTACGTGTCAAAAAAGGGCAAATGCCACATCTACCTTGATTTCGTGTCAGCATCCACCATCATCAGCCGCACCCTAAGCTTGAGTGAAATAAAGAGTTCCAATCGATAAATATGAACCATCCATTGTTAATCAAACACAACCCCTACCAGCCACGATAAATAAATGACAATAATTTCACTTCTTTCAATTATATGATTAGACATTTAATTCAATAATATAATTATTAAGTTGAAAGCTAGCAAAAGTTGATTGCTAAACAACATTTTCATGAAAGGCTACACTTCAAAAATATTGACGAAAATTTGAAATAAATAAATTTAACTTATCCAACAATAATCTCTACTTTACAGTCAAAATATGTATTTTTTTTTTACTTGTGCAAAAGAAAAGATTTTTTTTTTTAAAATAGATTTTAAAGAAAATTACTTATACATAAATTTGACTTATTTATTAGTAATCCAAAAACGAGTGCAAAACAAATAGAATACGCCACAACGTGTGAAGCATTTGTCTCACATTGCTTCATTACTTTGGTGCTTCAACTAATAAATAATTGAATTAATGATCTCATTAATAATATGTGAAAAGGTTTGGCACAAAATTTAATGTGATTTATAAGTTTCTTATTTGACCATTTAAATTTTTAAGGTCATTTGACAGGACGTTTGAAAATTTAAAAGTTAGTTTAGAGACTAAAAAAGTGATTTTGAACATGTTATAATAATTTCCCTAAGAGTAAATATATTTGCACGACAATTTTTGTTAACTACATCACATTTTAATTACAATAAATATCCCTAAACTTTTCTGATTTTATACTTATGTTCTCAAGTTTTTTTTTTTTTTTTTAAAATTATCATCAACCCTATATTAATTTTCACATCTTCTCTATATAAACGATTTTCGTCCAAAATATTTGTTATGAGGGCCAAAAAGTAATATTTATCTTTTATATTTTTAAATAACTCAAATAAATAATTAATACAAAAAAACAAAATATTTGCTCATTTTTTCAATGCACGTCAGTAGAATATTTGGATGAAAATCGTGGGTAGAGGCAAAATATGTTAATTAATTAAATGTCAAGAATGACAATACAGAGAACATAAAAGCAAAAGTGAACAAATATTGAAAACCTTTCTTGTAATTAAAATGTAGTGTCGATATAAAAATATTATTGTGCAAATATAATTATCCTTTTCTTAAAGTGTTGTATCTAACCAGCAGGATTTTTATAAGAAATGACACAAGGTAATTTTTCCAATTCTACGAAGTAAAAACAATAGCAGAAGTTCTGTCGAATGAGAGTCAATATCTCTCTCCAAGGTCCCTCGTCTAAGAGGAAGAGGATGCCAATGAAATATATATGGACATAATTTAGAACGGACATAATTTAGAACGTTTTAAGGGACAAGGAAGATAGAAACTATGAACCCTAAAAAAAATATTGTACATGGTCATTTAGTCTAGTTACATTCTTGTTTCTTTTTCGTAAATGGAGATCGGATTTTATCTCCCCTTCAAAGTTCTTTATTTTCTTTTGCAGCCGTATTATTAATAAATACTCCAACTAACTAAAAAATTATAAAGCTTCTCGGAAAACAGAAGTTGAATTAATAATACTAATTTGTGTTAAAATTAGAGTCATATTAAATTTTAATGTTGCTTACAAGTTGGAAAAGGGAAGGTTGAAGAGTGTAAAAAGCCAAGCAATCATGTGGCCTGTGATGATAGTTTGGAAACGAAGAAAAGAGTAGACAGGGAAGTAATTATATTGGGCCATAAGTTCTTATTTATTATGAGTTTTCTTGGTCTTTAAATCAGGTACACATGAGGGTCAAATATTTTTTATTTTATTTTTTTGCTTTCTTTTTAAATTTTCGTGAAAATGTGCATATGTAAATATATATTGTTTGATCATTGTTTTTGGAAATGAAGAATCTAAGGCCATTTTGCCACTGTTTGGTTCAACTTAAAATTTTAATAAAAAATCAAATCAAAGTCAACAATTAATTATAATAACACATTTTATGGAATTCACGACTTTTCAACAATACAATTTTATCAACATTTATCAAAATTTACTAAAAATATAATTTTATCTAAATTAATTAGGAGCTTTATTTGTTGTAGTGTGGATCGAGGTTTAGTTAAGGTGAGGTTGTATTGACTTCTTTAATGTAAAAGTTTAATATAACAAAAGAGATGCATTTGATTTTCATCATGCCATATGGTGTGTCAAATTAGTGTTGATTGACAAAATGAAACTCTCATTAAGAGGTTACACCGTTCCATGAATTAGAATATTTGCATGCCTTAATATTATTGATAGCAAAAAATGATGTAACACTTTTCGATCAACTTATATGAATTTAAGTAAAGTAACAATATTATATAGTTGGAATTTAAGCAAAGCGAGGACGTTATATTGGTGAAGGTTGTATTATAGGAATATAAAGAGACTTTTCAATACGATCCTATTTCACTTGCCCTTCATCCCTTTATATAGGTAGTTGGACATGAGCTCGTATCCTTGGTCATTTCAAGCTACATCATCCAATATGGGGCTATATGGTACCACTCTTTTGAGGGGATTTAATGGCCGGAGAATTAGATTGCGACGTAGACACAGTGTCATGTCGACATCTAGACATTAGGCGTGTACCATATACCATCATGACATTGTCCTAATTGGTTGATTAGGACGGTGCTAACGTAAAGATGGAGCACTTTCTCTATCATATCGTGATGATTGTCCATGTAATATCTTTCAGAGACGTGCTTAATGGCCCTAGCCATCCGTGGCATCCCCCATTGGAGACGGTCCCCCCACCAATAGGTGGCGCCCTTAGATGTTCTATCTTTATCCTATCTTTCATTGTCCAACTTTGACCTCTACTGAAGGGACCTTGGGTTGGGCAAGTGAGCTGACCTTGTTTGGCTCTTCGACAAAAAAAGTTCTTATTGATCCGATATAGAATTCAGATAGACAACAACGGATATGTCAAATTAAAGTTAATCACTAACAGTTCGAGAGGCAGATATTATTTTTCTTTTTGCTAAATTAAGGGCTTAATTTTGTTTGCTTACGTAATAACAAAATCATAATGAATAGTCTCTTATTCAATGAATCTGCAAAAAAGGTTGCAGCCTTTAGATTCCATGAATTCTCTGTGGCATAAAGGAATTTAAACGCATTGATTTCTCCTCAACACAATCAACAAATTAAGCAATTCTTTTTGTGAGGTGAGGCTTCCACCTAGAACCTTGTTGCGACAATGACAATAACCCTACAATGAAACCCTACCATATGTGGAAACCTACATATCACTTAAAAAAATTAAAACTTCTAATTATCTTAAATGTATTCACAAATTTGGTATCTTGGATTGGAGAAGTTTAGCACGACGTTATGCCATTTTCTTTGGGTGGGTTGTCTTATTTTTGATGTACATCTTTAGGTATAGTAGGTCGGGACAAAGACAACATATAAATTGCGCTATAAGCTCTACTTGCCCGATTATCATGAAAGTAATCGCATGAAATCAAGAAAATATTACAATGATCACGGATAAACTAAAATACTTTAGTAATTTTAACAATTATTATAGTAGTTTCATTATTTGTAACAACTAGTGACTAAAAAACATAGGACACAAAACTATACTACATGAAAAACGACTTAAGGTGAGAGTTTTCGATTAATTACACACACTAAATGAACACTCAAAAACTATCATTTTTAAACAAGGACTTTCGAGTTCAAACCAACTAGCTGATCTTTTCAATTCGTTCGTTCAGCAGATTACATCCTTGAGAAGCTTGTACTTGCGCGTAGTAGGCCGGGGAGAAGGCGTCGAACTCGGGTTTTTTCCAGCTTTTTCTGATCCCTCTTCATGATCAAGTTGCTTGTTTTTGTTACCTGAATAAGCTGTTGATTTTGAATCATTATTTACCTGCATGGATTTTCTTGATGAAGAACCACCATGTTTTGAATTTTTCCCTTCACTTTGACACCAATCACATACTTGAATAGGCTCTGATAATTCACTGTAATAATTACTGCAATACCTGTGAAAATTTTCAAGTATTCAGGCATAAGTAATCAACTATAAATCCCTCAGAAAACTTATCATGATCATAAAAAAAGATGCAGAAAAATCAACACACACATAAAGAGGTGTTTGATGGTGGGGGTGGGGGTGCATACAGGTGTTGGAAGCGGTGGCGACACTTGCTGCAGCGGAAGAGTTTGTCGGAAAAGCCTACATCGCCGCACATACAGCACACAGTCTCCATTTTCGATAAAGCTTGGATTTGATGAAACTAAATCAAGAACGATCATTCACTCAAAAGGGCAAAGATTTGAAGAGAGAGAAAGTAACAATTTAGAGAGAGAAAGCTTTGAGGAGAAAGGAGAAGAGTTATGGCTGAATTCAGTGCTGTAATTGCTATTATATAATTATTTATTTGTAGCTTGTCAACGATGGATACAGATACATACAGGTAGCCCACAGGTTGCTCATTTTCAGTCGTTTTCAGTTGGAGAGAAATTTGTGATTAATATTAAATGATACATCCTCTTTATTTCAGCTTAAAATAAGTTATTTATTACTATTAAGTATTTTTTTTATTTATCACATGTTCGAATTAATTATTTATTTTCTTACTTATATATAAACAAATTTATTAATTAAAAAACATAGTTAGAGATTATTTTCAATTTTATTCCTTTGGGCTTAAATTAGCATTTT